AGCTCGCATTTTCGAGGTCGGTTTGGGTTCTGATTTTCGAGGTCGCTCAGGATTTGGATTTTCGAGGTCGTTGAGGGCTCCGATTTTCGAGGTTGTTGAGGATTAGGTTTCGAGATCGTTCGGAGCTCCCATTTTCGAGGTCGTTCCGGGGCTGGGTTTGGGGTCCATGTGCATTGGAAGCATGTGCATAAATTGAAAGGATGTGTGGAAATCATTCAGATTAAAAGATGAGCATCGACGCAGTCTTTGGAAATGATTTAATTGTGGATTTAAATGGTGAAATTGGATCAGGAGTATCATTTTTTGAATCTAGATGAAGATGTGTGAGGTGTGTGGTAGTTATTCGAATCCAGATTAAAACGATCAAAATTAAAACTTATATTTGCATGATCAAGTTATATACTATAGGTTGTAATTTGTATATCGATCGAGTTTGGTTGGGATTAGAATGTTAGAGAGTATTCGGGAAGCCAGTATATTAAGTCATAGATCAGTCTGGATGTTCCTAGATTTGAACTAAATGTGCAGTTTATGGACGAAATTCGGATTAACATTTTTAATATGTATATATATATATATTATTTAATTTTCTTGTATGAGGGTTTTGCGTTTATTTTGTATTGTTCGTTGTTTGTGATGATGGTGAGGCGCCCCATGGCGAGGCGCCCCGTGTCGTGGAACACGCTCTCGCGGAGAGCGCCCTTCCATGGAGCGCGCGGCCCTGGGTGTTGTCATCCGACATGCCCGCGGCTTTTTCATCCATGCCTCGTGAGTTTTCTGTTCTGGGCATTTCCCAGTCTCCTCACTTTTTCCGGACGGCGGCGCCTTTTCCTTCGCCCTCCATGTCTTCGCCCCCGGTGCCAGTCCGCGGCGTACCTGCTCCTGCGCATCCAGTTCGGCACCGCCTGCACCCTGGGCCCCGCCCGCTCTGGAGAGGCCTGGACGCGCGCGCGCGCCCTCCTTGGCTTGGCCGAGCACCGAGCCCGCGTCTCTAGTAAGGCGCGGAAGGGGGCGGCGGGGTTTGCGCCCCTCGCAAGGTGTGGGCCTGCGCCCATGCAAGGGCCCGCGCCCGCCCCGCGACTGGACCTGCGCCTTTCGCAAGACGCGGGCCTGCGCCCATGCAAGGGCCCGCGCCCGCCCCGCGACTGGGCCCGCGCCCTTCGCGATGTAGGGGCTTTCGCTGGCGCCCGAACTTCAAAAGGAAGAGCGCGCGCCAGGGGGGCGCCCGCCGCGCGCGCGCGGCGCCTACAAACGCGCGCAAGGCAGTTGCCAAACGCGCGCGCCGCGGGGGCGTCGCACTTCCCCCCGCGACCCGCAGCCCTGGAAGTCGATGCCTGCGAAGCGCGCGCGCCGCGGGGGCGGCGCTGGCCCTCCCGCGGCGCGCGCCCCTGGCGCGCGACGGCGCGATGACCTTCGCCTGCGCGACAAGGCTGCGGTCGCGGCGCACTGCCGCGCGCGCGACTTATTCGCGAACCTGGGCCGATTTGTGCCTGCTGACCGCGGCGCGTGCTTGTGCGAGCGCGCGACGCTGCCGCCGTGGGGCTACCGTGCGTTGCCGCGGTCAATTAGGCAGGAAAACATATGAATCCTACATTTTTCCGAAAAGGAACCAAGAACGGGCGGTGCGCGTCAACTAGTCGCTTAGTTCAAAAGTAGCGAAACAATTGCTACTCGAATTGTCGTGGTTGCTATTGAGGTTTCCGTTCTTTGTTGCTCGTTCGTTGGCGTTTGTTTGTGTCTGTTTGTTTGTTGCTTGTATTTTCGTTGTAATGTATTTGTTTTCCAGTCTGACCACCTATTTCTTTCAGTCATCGTCTTTCCCGTCATTATGCGCGTTCGTCGATGTTCTTTTGCGATTAGAGTTGCGAAGGTTCGTTCGTGATTGGTGGGCGTTGCGTGTGGGTGGAAATTGTGTGGCGCAGTGGTCAAGGGTGCTGCGTGCATTCCCAGTTGTGTTTTTGTTTAGAATGCTTCTATTGATTGTCGTTTGCGCTTAGCCTGGGTTGGGTTTGTTTTCTCCGGTTGGATGCCCTCAGGTATGTATTTATATATAATATGTGCATACATATTGTCCCATATAGCTGCACGCCATATTTGTTATACAGGTTTTTGTTTCGGAGCATGTTTTTAGTTTTCCTTTCCATGTTGCTGGTGGTTGTCCGTCTCAGAAGCTTCGGGGTGGTATGTCTGCTTCGTCAGGATTTCGTTTTGCAGTACGAGTCGCTTATCCCATATAAATGCACACGTTGATATGCACACGCAAGGGTCTGTGATGTGAGGTTCTTTGACCATACATTTGCATAACACATCATACGCGTATGGTTGACGTGTCCGACGAACTTGATTCGGCAACTCGTTTTTCGAATTTAGCCTGTTTCTGTTTCGCAGTGAAAACTGGGCGGTTCAAGCCAGCCATCTCGCGCTGCAGCTTGATCTTCTGTATTATTTTGAGCATAGCTCTTCGACTTTCAATATTTGCCACCAGTTTCAGTGAATGGTGGTGCCCATGAGCTCCATTACATTGAATATAATCGTTGTTCCAAGTAGAGGTAGAGACATGCAACAGAAAACAGCAATACCAATGGATCCCCTGAAGAAACTCAGGAAGCACAGCGGTCTTTTATTGAAATGTATTGTGAGTCGCGCCGATTCGTTAGTCGATGTGGGAGGTGGAGGGTCAGGAAATTGGCTTGTGGAACACTTCCTCCCTCGTGGAACACGCTTTCGTTGGACACCCGTTTTTTTGACCAGCGTGCGTGAATCGCCCGTTGGTGCATAGTATTGGATGTACGTACCGTCTTCGTGGAACACCGCTCTCGTGGAACGCGCGTGAGTGGAACACTCCTATTGTGAGACGCCCCGTCTCGTGGAACGCGCGCTCATGGAGCGCCCCTTCATGGAACGTGCGGCCCTGGATGTTGTCATCCGACTTACCCGCATTTCAAACAGAAATTCATCTACCTCATAATTTTCTTTTTCTTTTCTGTCAGTTGCCATTCTTTTTATTTGCCTCCACCCTGGAGTTACTTCGCCATTTCATCTTTTCATCTTTTTCCTTTCCCTTCTATCCCCGCTTGGTTTTTTTCTGTTTGGGCCGGTGTACCTTTCCACACATCAGCCCGCCATTGGTCCTTTCATCCGCAGTGCCATTTTTGTGTTCCCGTCCTTTCATCTTTCTTCTTCAGCTCCCTTCTTGAGCCGACATATCCATTCTGCCATCGTGCAGTTTCACTCGAGCCATCCACCTTCAATGTTCCTTCCGTCCATTCTTACATTTTTTTTACGCGTCGATTCATATGTCTCCATCCATTCAGCGCTTCGCTTCATTTTGATCCTTCATCTTCGTCTTCCTGCTCTCATCCTGACGTCCTTGCATATTATCTCGTCCCACAATTTGCCTGCATCTCTGTGCCCTTCGATCTCTCCATTCCACGTCATTCCTTTCTCGATCCATTTCCATCCACCGTTCCGTCAAGTCCATTCTTTCCTTTGATTTTCCTTCGATCTGGGACATTTCTTTCCATGCATTCCTCTGTCATCTCGCCCTTCCAACTCCATCCAACCTCGCATCCTTATATTTTTTCTTCTTTCATCTCTGCATGTTATCGTCCTTCCTTTGTCCCTCCATCCCTCCGTGTTTCTCCGTCTCCCAATTCCTTATCCCTTTCAGCGCAGCAGCGCCTAGCATCACGTCTCACCACCATCGCATCGCGCAGCATGGCATGGCGCAGCGCAGTACCGCAGAGCACAGCGTAGTGTACCATTCCAGAGCGTTGCATGAAACTAGGCTGCGTTGCCACCGTGGAGTGCAACCGTGCATCGTAGCATATTACCAGTGCGGAAAGCAATTCTGCATCAACGTTGTGGCAAGCGATGAGGCCTAGTTCAGTTGTGTTCGAAACTTGACTTGTGCTGCTGAGCCCTTGGCAGTCGGCTGAGGGCTGATGCTTATGCTTGGACTGGTTGGCTGACCGGTTGTTTTGTAGACAGCCAGGCAGGTCTGTTGGTATGGTGATTCATGCTCGTAGGTCTGCAGCACTCGGGCTTGGTTGGTTGGGCGGCCGTCAGGGGTCCACAGGGGTCCCGGGTTGCTTGATTGTGGTGTGTAGGCCTGTGGGTCGGTGTGCCACATGGTGTTTTGTGCGCTTTTTCTTGTCGATGTTCGGATGGTTTATTTCAATCATTTGTTGCCTGCGTGTTGGTTTTATCAGCCTTGACGCCAGTATCATTTTTTTTGCACCGGGGTGGTAAATTTGCCCTGCACCGTAGGTATGTTGACCTCACTGAAAATTGTTCCAAATCCGCACAAACCATCATGCAACGTGCAACAGTTATTTGGAGAATAACCATTCTTGATCCCAACCTTTGTTTTGAGCGGAGATGAGTCGACACGGATTGAAAATGAAGTCCATTGACCAGTGACGGAATATCTCCAGACAAGCAATGACGCTCAATGGCACCGTGTTGTTCTTTCCATTGCTGCCATAGGGTTCCTACATGATAGTCCAACAGTTGAACTTGTAGTGTAACATCATTTTCATGCAACCGATCCACCATATATACAAATTCATGCCACCATTCCAGATCACACGGCGTTGTGTGTGATCTAGTGGCTGCGGCGAAGGAGGGCAACATACATTGGAGTCGTCTGTCACGAAGTCTACACTTGTGGTCGTCGGCAAGGTCGCGCATTAATCGGGGGCATTTGGTCGACAAGAACTTCGCTCGAACATGTGGCACACCTCTGAAAGCTCAATCACGGGTCCAGCATGCACCCAGCCCTCCCTTTAATCTCTCTTAAACCCCTACACCGCTCGAACCGAATCGAGATTACTCGCCTGGTTTAGTATGTTGTGAACTTGAAAAGACGTTGACATATAAATCAATACGTCCTCATTTTATTCCACCCTTTACCATTTCCTGCTAACCCTCGTCTCCCCCTCTTCCCGTCGCGCCTCATTCTGCACCTGGACGGACGGCCCGTCGGGTGGGCAGTCGAGGAGCCGATTGGACAGTCGACAACATCTGGTCGCACGTGAGTATCATCAGGGCCGTGTTCAGCAGGCGTGCCTCACTGGGGGGACGGCCGACGCAGATGGGAAATCACAAACTTGTGAGGAGGGTGAGTATCGAAACGGGGAGTGGAGCGGGTGAGGGGGAGAGGCAGAATGACGGGGCGTTGCTGGAATTGGTGATGGAAGGTGTTTGGGTAGAGGACGAGAGGGAGGACGAACAAGAGGAGTATGCGGCGGAGGAGATTGAGGAGTAGGACGAGGAGGACGAGGAGGAGGAGGAGGAGGAGGAGGAGGAGGAGGGGGAGGAGGAAGAGGAGGAGTAGGAGGAGGAGGATGACCATGAGAGGTTTCCTGCGGGCTTCGCCGTTGCGGCACACGCTGGGGGCCACCTCTTGGAGCCAGGGCGGCCCGCTCTCTCCCCTCCTCCAGGCTCTCTCTTGGGCGGGGGCCTCGGTGTACCTCCCGAGCCCGCTGCGGCAGACACGCCGTCGGCCTGGCCTGGCCTGGCCTGGCCTGGCTGGCTCGGCTGAAAGTCCGTCTGGGCCGTCCCGCTCGCGGAGGGTCTGCGGCTTGGTTCGGCTCTCCGCAGTCTTTCGGCCTCTGCCTTGCGTTGGTGTCCGTGAGGTCGCCTCCCTGGCCTGGCTGGGCGGTTGGCCTCACCGCCTCGTCAGCTCGGCTGCGGCCCCCGCTCGGGTCGCCCTCTCGATTCCGGCGGGGCCAGCCCGCGCCCTCGCTGTCCCCTCTCTCTCGTCTCTCCCCTCTCTCTCCATTCCTCTCGCGTGCTGCTGGGCCCCTGCCGGCGTCGGAACGCCGGGGGGGGGCTCCCTCGGCTTTGCACCGTCCAATCTGTCTGGCCCACTCTGTCGCACCGCCTGGCCTGGCGGGCGGGTCGGCCCGGCGTCGGCCTCGTGCTCCCGCTGGGGCCGCGCAGCTTGCGGCCTCGGTGGAGCGCGCCTGGCCCTCGTTGGGTTGGCGCTCCCGCGTCGGCTGCTCCGCCATTGCGGGGTTTGGTGGGTCGGTCGCGCGCCGGGGGAACCTGATGCCCCTCTTGCGCCCCTTCGGCAGTCTCCGCCGGCCCAGCCTGGCTGACCGGTTGGCTCGGCGTCGCCCCTTGATCGGGCTGGTGCTCCCACTCGAGCCGCGCAGCTTGCGGCCTCGGTGAGGCGCACCTGGCCCTCGTTGGCCTGGCGTTCAGTTGGTCGGCGCCCTTCTTGGGGCTCATCTCCGCGGGGTCGCGTCCCTGGCTCGTCGGCGGCTCGGCTGCTGCTTCCGCTCCAGCCGCGCCTTCTGGCCCCTGCGGGGCTGGCCTTGGCCCTGGCCCTCGCTGCCGCGTCCTTTCTTCTTGTCGCCACCCGCATGCTGCATCTCTGTTCGGCCCTATTCGTAGAGCAGGACGGGCTTCCCGCGTAGCGCCTTGTGTGACATGTAGAGAAGTACAGATGTGATATGAAAGGGTGATGATAAGACGTTTATCTCAGTCTGCTGTTGCTTCCTTTCGCTCGTGTTCAATGTTGCCTCGCCGCCAACCATTTGGCTCAGAAGCTGGGCGGAAGTGTGGGCGCACCTACTCACGTTTTGCCTGAGTACGGAAAGAAATAGTCATCATAATCTTTCTTGCTTCTCTTGCATCAAGAGCTGTGCGGTGGATATTGCGATTCACATATGATTGGCAATTAGCGCGAACAGTTTGTGTTCCGCGTCTGCGAGGATCTCGTATATAGAGTGGCCGGGCAGACCTACATGCTGGCGCTCAACATTTTCGCGTTTGTATTACACCATTGCTCAGTCCATATCATCAGCGACATTCCCATCAGCTTTGACGAGAGCAGCGATATGAGTAGCTCCAGCCCAGGCGACGACAACACCAGCTGCATCGAGTGCAGCGGAAGTTGCATAACATTCGAGACAATGATGACGTTCAAGCAGCAGCTTCAGGACGGACCCCTCTTCGTGGATAAGGAAGGTATAGTTTATTGCAACGGCGACCCACCACACGGAGCGGAGTTGGAGGAGAGAGCGTTACCGGGCTACCATGCGAGTGAGGAAAATTCAGAAGATGTATGCCAGCAATCTCAATAATTCACTGAGTGGTGGACGATTTTGGAATCTTACACGTAAGAATGCCGAGACCACTACTCAAGCAGCTCTGGGGAAAGCAGGGGATGACCTACATGCTGCCGCGCAGTTGGTGGTGGCCACGGTTCGGACAGCACGTGACGGCGGCAATGCAAATCGAGCTAGACGCTGCTGGTCGAGAAGATCGTCGGCGTAGGCGATGTGGAGTCTACGCAGCAGATTCTGCGGACGAAGAAGATGCTCTATGGGTGGATCAGTGTGGACCGTGCGACGACGGGGACATCTGCAGCGACTCGGACTACAAGGCCCTCGCTGCAAACGTCGACGAGTTCGAGGCAGTCATCGACGACGTGGTTGCCGAGGAGATCAGCCAGGAGGGGTGCGATACCTTGGCAGCAGAGGCACAGCGACTGGAATGGAAGGCTGGGCGCCGAAACCACGAGCCCAACTGCAAGCGGGCCCAGTCTCGGCTCGCTCAGAGCAGGTCGAATCGTGGGATTTCATGGCTTGGTGTATGGATTGGGCAAGGCGCCGACTGGACCATCTGGCGCACATCACGATGGAGATGCCACCCATTGGGCTGTGGAGCTTGGCGTATGATATGTGTCAAGAATCATGAGAGGCTGGCGGCCCTGTGCAAGGGTGCGCCCGTTCGCGCCAGCTCCAGCGCTCTCGGCCCCCGGGCGAAATCTACCCGCCGTCTGGCGGCTTCCCCGTGGTAGGGCCACCTGGCGCCGCCTGCATTCGCGCGCTTGCGCTGGCAGGAGGGCTGGCCCCTGCAGGATAGGGGCCACCTGACACCCCCATCTCCGCAACCTAAGTGGAGTCAGGCACACCCCCGCGGAGGACCAACTCCGCGTGGCCCCTTGGTGCAGCCCACGCCCGTCGTTCGCACTGGCACGGGTGCTGGGGCTTCCCGCGGTTTCCGTTTAGCCAGGCCTCGGGTGCTTGATTTTTTGGGGCCCCCGTGCAGGGGGGCATTCGCTCGCGCCGGCTTCCTCGCGTTGTCGCGCCTGCGTGCGTGTGTGTCTGTCTTCTCTCCTTGCTCGCGGCGAGGGTGCAGCATCTCCGTTGGAGGGGGGATCACGTCGCGTCTTGTCACCTGCCGCGCGGCTCCGGTCTTCGCGTGCTGTGCGCTTTCTTCGGTTTGGGTACTGGGCGCCGCCGCTTCGGCCCTTGTGCTTGTGGGTAATTCAGGGTATATTGATGTGGGAGCTCGGTGGAGGGCGACGGTCGGCAGGGCAGAGGAGGAAACGCAGCAGGAAGACTCGGTGGTGGCGCTTGAGCGGGACAATGACGTAGCTTCGGCAGGCGATGACGAATATAATGATGACGATGATGATTCCCTTGTTGTTGATAATGATGGCGATGATGACGCTGATGATCATGCTGATGATGGTGATCACGATGGTGACAATGATGATGATGATGTTGATGATGATAATGCTGCTGATGATGATGATGATGATGATGATGATGATGATGATGATGATTATTCGGTGATGGAGATGGGGATACTGATGATGATGCTACTGCTGCTGCTGCTGATGGTGGTGATGATCATGGTAGGAGTAGTGATGATGATGAGATCGTAATGCTGATATGGTGGTGATGATTGTGATGATGATGGTGATGACGACGATTATGATGATTATGATGATGGTGGAAATGATAATGGTGGCGACGACGACAGTTATTTGTATTTTCGTGTATCGCTATCGTTGTGCATTCTGTTTCTTTAAGGATGAGGATTGTGGTGGTGAGGAGGAGGGGGACGAGGATGAGCACTCGGACAGAGATGAGGATGAAGAGGACGACGAGAAAGATGCGCGTGAAAGGAGAATGAAGGGATCTATTCGGAGGAAGTGGAGTAGACAAATGATTAACAGGAGGAGGAGGAGGAGGAGGAGGAGGAGGAGGAGGAGGAGGAAGGGGAGGATTAGGACAAGGATGGGGATGCGGGGGGTCGGAGGAGGAGGAGGAGGAGGAGAAGGAGGACGAGCAGGATGAGGATGATGAGGGAGGAGGGCGGGGGGAAGAGGAAAAGAGGAAGAAGGGGGAAGAGAAGCAAGCAAGGAAGGCCATAGCACGGATGGGGGAGGAGGACGCGAATGAGGGAAGGACGGGGGGAGGGAGACGTGGAGGAAGTGAATGAGGAGGATGAGGTGAGGGGGAGGAGGCATACGTACAGGAGAAGGTGGAAGAGGATAGCTAGGAGGAACGGGAGGATACTGATGACGAGCAGGACAATAAGACATACGTACAGGAGCATAATGGGAAGGACAATGAGGAGGGCAACCATTAACCCACTGCGCACAACTAGCCCTGCAATAAACCCCCTGTTCCCTGGCCACTCCCCATTGGGACATGCATGCAACCCCATTCGCTGGAGCAAGCATCCGCAAGAACAGAAAAGGAGGAAATGACGTTGCCACACCGTAAGTTCTTTACTGTGGACGAATAGACGGCTCGGATCACTGTTTTTTTGCCGAATCGGTGGCCACATGGAAGGCTGGCTTGGTGATAACACACTTTGAGGTTGATAGAGCAAAACGAACGTATATTCGGCCAGGGAGGGGGAGGGATGCAGACTGGAAGAGCAGAGGAGGAGGGAGGCCCAGGAGGAGGATTCATGGTGGTGCTGATGACGATGATGAGGATGATGAGGGTGATGATGCTGATAATGATGATGATGATGGTATTATTTATAATGATAGTGATGACGATGACGACGATGCCGATGACGATGCTGATGATGCTGATGATGGTGATGCTACTGATGATCATGATGGTGATGATGATTATGATGATGATGATGGTGATGATGATGATGAGGATGATGATGATGATGATATTCTCATGATACATAACATTGTAATGATGATGCTGCCGATGATGTTGATGACCATGATGATGATACTAGTTACAATGATAGTAATGCTGATGACGACGATGATGCTGCTGATGATGATGCTGATGCTGCTGCTGCTGCTGATGATGATGATGATGAGGGTGATGACGCTCATTCTGATGATGATGCTGATGATGATGATGCTTAGGATGAAGATAATGATGATGATGAGGATTATGATGATGCTGATGATGCTGATGATGATGATGATGATGATGATGATGATCAGGATGATGATGATGATGCTGATGCTGATGCTGATGCTGATGATGATGATGATGATGATGATGACGATGATGATGATGATGATGATGATGATGATGATGATGATGATGATGATGATGATGATGATGATGATGATGATGATGATGATGCTAATGATGATGTTGATGCTGTTGATGATGATACTGATGATGACGATGGGGAAGGAGATGGTTTCCGGGGGTGGGAGGATGGAAGGAGCTCAGTATAGAGGCAGACCATGTAGCCACTGCGGCACTTCCTGCCGGTGCCGATTGGGAGCGGCGAGACGCGGATGCTCTGTCAGTGCGCTGCGCAACAGGGTCAATCCGAGGCTGTGCGGGGACGGGGCTCTGCGCGGAGGGCGGGGCGCCTCGCGTGGCAAAGCGAGGTACGCTTGTCGTAGCCAAAGGCTAACTGTCTCGAGCAGGCATCCGTTGCGGAAGCACGCGATCATCTTTTTTGGTTCGAGTGCCGGCGCTGGAGTGGGCAATGGAACTCTCGGCTGCGGTCTTGGTGCTGGAGTGTATGATCTGACGCACTCTGTTCCGTGGCAGCCGGCAGCATCACTGTAGCATCACGTGTCACGCACGTAACGCTAGTGAAGTGCCGGTACGCCTGTACCCGCCTGCGTCCGCCCACCGGCTTTCGTCTTCGGGGTTGGCTGTCACAATAAGCACCTCTTCTACAGGCTCCTTGACTTCTTGTTCTACCAGTGAGTTCCGTCTCCTCGGTTCTCTTGCATCGTTCCGCTGCCTTGATGAGCTATGTTGCAGCTGAAAGTTACTGATATTGTATAGCTAGCGCGCTGTTCGGGGTCGTACGTGCCACTGTCCTCTACTTCTTGCTTTGTCTAATTCTCTGTTGTGTGGGATTTATTGTTTCGGTCGTTTGGGCCAGTCGGTAGGGATTGACACTTAATGTTCTGTCCACCGCTGGGGCGATACGTTGTGGGGCGCCTTCGTATCATTCGCCTTCTGTTCCTCCTTCTGCTCCTTCTCTCCCTCTTCCCCTCCGGGTTATTCGGCGGCGAGCGAGGGGGGGAAGTGAGAAGGGGCGGGCCTTCTCAGAAGGCTCGGAAGTCCCCTGGCCTTCTGAGAAGTTTTCTAAGCCTTCCCCGAAGACAAAACAACTTCTCAGAAGGCGCGAGGGCTTCTGAGAAGTCCTTCTCACTTCCTCCCCTCGCTCGCCGCCAAGTTATGGCGCAGGACGCATGACTGCGCGCATTTCCGCCCCGCCGCGGTGTGCCAGCAGCCGCCGCGCACGGCCAAAAGGGTCAGCGATGACGTGCCGTGGTGTCCTCCCCCCCCCGCGCCGTCCTCTCCGTCTGGCCGCCCCCCTCGCTAGTCTCACGCCTCTCGCGTCTTCGCCCGCACGTTTCAAGCAGAGCGAGTTCGGGGAGCTGACGCAGGCTTTTTCGTGTTTGCGTTGCCTCGGGGGAAAGAACACTGCAGCAGTATGTTTCATTCTTAGTTCTGGTTGTGCGCATGACGCATCGTGCTTCTACTGGAAGAAGAGGAGGAGGAGGAGGAGGGGATAATGAGGAGGTTGGGGGGATGGGTGTGGGGGGGGGTTTTGATGAGGATGGGAATTGTGTCGATGCTGAGGAGAAAGTGCGAGAAAAGGGCGCCCCTCCTCGAACGAGGCGTGGCTTGCTGGCGCCCCTTGTCTACATCCACAACCACGACTTCAACGGCCTCGGGGGCCACGTGGGCGCCGAGCTGCTCCGAAGGGCCCAAGCGGACGGGTTCACCACCTTGGTGACCCGTCGGCGATCCTCCTTGCCCTTCCCCTCCCGCCTCCCCTCCGTTTCCCACTCCCCTCCACCTCCTTCTTTCCCCGTCCCCCTTTGCCCTCCCCCCCCCCTCTGGCGGGCCGCTGATGCGCCCACGCTCAAAATCGAAACATGGGGGCTCCAGGGGCAAAACTCCCTGGGTGAGGGGGTGGGGGGGAGGGGGGCGCCTTCCTTGGCGCCCCACCCGGCAGGATCCCCTGGCTTGCGGCGTCCCCTGGGGCTTGCTGGACGCGTGAATGCAAAGCTTCGGCCGTCTTCGTGGCGTGCTGGATGCGGCGCCGCACGCTGAGATGCGTGGCGCGGGGCCCCCTGGGGCCTGCCAGAGGCTGCTCTTCACGTGCGCCTCCCACGGGCGACCCTTGTTGCCCCCAAGAGGTCACTCCTGATCGCTGGGGCCCTCAACTAACGACTCGGGATGGAGAGCCCCGCAGGCCTAGAGGCTGACACCAGCACCGTTATCGGCGGTGTACCTCCACCGAGGGAAGAAGATCCCGATCTCGGTGACGGTGGTCATAGTCTGGCTTCCAAGGTGACCGAAGTCTTACCCCGAACACCAGTATTTCCCCCCTGCGGAGGCAGCCCCCTGTGTTGGTGTTGGTGCCCCTTTCCAGGCCTCCGAAAGCCGGTCCCAGGGAGGGGTCGAGAGCTCCAGGGGTCGGGGACTCGAAGACCGAGTTGTCGGAGGTCGGGGAGTGTGCTGTGTGTGTGTGTGTGTGTGTGTGTGGGGCGTCTCCAGCGAATCCATTCTTGTCCTCCTCCTCCTCTTCCTCCTCCTTCCCTCTTCCTCTTCCTCCTCCTCCTCCTCCTCCTCCTCCTCCTCCTCCTCTTCCACCACCTCCTCCTCTTCCTCCTCCTCCTCCTCCTCTTTCTCCTCCTACTCCACCTCCTCTTCTGCCCCCCTCCGTAGCCACTGTTGCTCCACATGCTGATGTTCTTCCGGCAAGGAACGGACACCCCTGACCCGAGGCTAGATCCCCGTTTCTTTTCCACATGCACGGTCCAGTGGGGAGCTACCCAGCAGCCAGTGGTCCTTTCCATATTTGAGTGATTCGGCTGGGTGGGTAAGCGGTGGAGTTTCCCGTTCCCGTCCAGCCGAATGACATTGTGCGGCTCGCCCGCATTCTGCCGAGCACGACGACGCCTTCTGCCTCAGCGCGACCCCCTACTATTGCATGGCCTCTGATGTCACATCTTCACCTGATGATCGGTCTCCTGATCACAGCCACAACCGCAGCGGTGGTGAAGGGCGCCGTCGGCGACAGTGCCGTGTTCGCCGTGGCCGTGACGACCTTCTCGAACGCGCTGCGCCTTCTCTTGCGGCTGAGGCCCCTGACTTGCGACGACGACCGCCCTGGGGCGTACCCATACGTGAAGCACCCGAACGCCGACGTGAACGAGCCCGACGTGCTGCCGATGGACTGGCTGCCCCACAGCAGTGGGCCGCTCGCCCTGGAGGCCCCAACGGTGGTCCACTCCCTGGCGACGGCGGCGGCCCTGACACCCTACAGCTTCATGGTCTGTGGGCAGGCGCGGCTGGTGGCCACCTCACGACGCAGAAGGTTGCGATCATGGAGGCGGCCCCCAAAATTTCCCAGCCAGGCTGGAGGCACTGCGACGCCCCACGGGCCCCCTACTGACTTGGCCGTTGCGGCCTCATCCAGCTTGTCTGACCCCGCAGCCGCCCTCTAGAAACAATTCATGGGGCCTGTCCACTCCCGCATGGCATCCACGATGGCAGATATGGACCAGCTGTGCAGGAGTTTCATGGCGGCCACACAAGTTTCCATGGTTTCCGATATGTCGCGCTTTGCTGACCCCTCACCCAGAACGTTGGCGTTCACTCCAACGAGATCCTTTCTTTCAAGACCAGGCAGAATGATATTGAACTGGACAATATTGAAATGCGCTTGCAGATTGACGAAATCTGATCTGCCCCTGCTGTGGCCCAGCGGCAGCTCTCAACTACGGACCTGGCGAGGCTGGCTGGGTACGACAGGGATGCCGACCGCCTCCTCTTCTCCGCCAACTGCCACGGGTGCCCGCGATATTGTCCGCGAAGTCATGGGCGAGTTGGTCGTTGCCTTTCGTGTTGGGTGGAGCGGTCCCTGGTTGCCGCTACTTTCTATGTGTCAGTGGCGATGCTGCGGCTGGAGGTGTCCGTGCCGCCGCCCTTGAGCGTACCCTTCGTGTCCCAGGTGGTGCATGGTTGCCGCTCCAGACGTCGTCGTCGGCTCGTCCTCGCAGACGTCCGCCTTGATGGTGGAGGGCACCTCTCTGGCATCGAGCGCGGCCCTCTGATCATGCTGTGCGAGCTGCAAGTGGTGAAAGCCCATTTCGCGCGTGCCAGTGGATTCTGCGGCTGTCGACGCTCACCTTGCCGAGCGCATCCTTGAGTTCCCGCGGCCACCGATGGGCATTTCCTCCGTGAAAGCCATCGGGCAGGCCATCATCCGATCTAACCCAACGTCAAGTCGGGCCTGTCCCTCTACAGGAGGAATACTCCAAAATAGTAAAAGGAATAGTCTGGGGACGATTTTTGGACCATTTTTGATTTTTTTTTGACTATTTTTCATTTTTCGTCCCAAACCCCCCTGCAGGAGGACAGACCCGACTTAAGCCCAACGGCCCCTGGACCAGATCGACTGCAGGCGCGCGCTGGGCTGGCGTGCGACAGGTGCACGGAGATTCTCCGCGGCCTGATGCCGCGCCTATGTTCCAGGGATCGTCCTGCCCCGTGGGGCTTCGGCCACGCGAACACTGCCTTCGCGCCGCAGGGAGATGGGCCCGGTTGACCTCGTGGACGTCGCGGGACGCGTCCAAGCTCCGACCCCTCTCTCTCTCTTTTTTTTTTTTTTTTTTTTTGTTTTTTTTTCTCTATCTCTCTCTCTAGAACATTCGGGTGCCAAGGCCACTGCGGCAGCCGCCAATCGTCTCGTCCTCTGTCGCTGCTGGCAGGTGCCACCCAGCTCGGCACGGCTTCGCCCGTGGCGGGCGTTCTCTCTCGCGCGCGTGCTTCGCCGGGGTGCGATCGCCGGAGCGTCGAGAGCCGCCGCCTCGAGCCCTCCCCCCCTCGCTGCCTCTCCTTCGACCTCCAGGCGCTGCCTTCCCCTCTCTCTCCCACAGACCCTCCTCCGCAGAGTGCTCGACCGCCGTCGTGCCCCGGCTGGATTTTAAGCATGGCCACTGCGGCTCCGTGCACGGGGGCTCTCGCCCACTCCCGCTGCAGTGCAGCCCGCCGCCCCCCCCTCTTCCTGGTCTCCTCGGGGACGGCCCAAGGTTGCCCTCTCTCGGGCTCCGTTTGGGCCTTGTGCATGGGTCCTTTCCTCCGCTGTCTGTCTTCCCAGCCCCGCTCTCTTGAGACACTCGAGATGTGCCTCGGCCCTCACCTCTGGTGCCCCAAGGTCGTCTCTGAGTGCAGGGCGACGGCGGACGATGTGGGTGTCTCGCGCCCGTCGATGCGTCTCCTTCTTCGCCTCCTGCCCCCAGTCGACGCCGCCCGCACGCTTGCCAATCTCATCCTGCAGCCCGCCAGCTGGTGCGCTGTGCCGCTCGACGCTGCGTGCGCTCGCCCGAGATTGCAATGCGCGCGCCCGCCCAGACTGCCGAGCTTGTCCCACAGTGGGCCGGCGTCCACATCAAAAGCGCCACCGCGTTTCTCGGGATCGAGCTTGGTCCCTCGGCCACCCTCGCGGCCCAGCGGGCCACCCCTGTGCGAAAGTGGAGAGCCCGTGCCCTCGAGGTTGCCGCCGGCCGTTCCCCTGCAGAGGCCGGGTCCCGCAGCCACAGCTCTGGCGAGCCTCCTGGCCAGGACTGCGTCTGCCAGCTCCCTCCCCCGCCTCCTCCCCGTTCGGAGGCCTGGAAATGGGCACCAACACCAAGACAGGGGGTTGCCTCCACGGGGAGGGTGATCCTAGATTTTCGGTGTTGGTGGTAATAGTTCGGCCACCTTAGACGCCAGAATATTACCACCATCGCCGAGATCGGGATCTTCTTCCCTCGGTGGAGGCAAACCGCCGAAAGTGGTGTTGGTGTCAATCTTTAGGCCTCCTCCCCGTCCTCCTCCGCCTCGAACGTCGCGCGTCTTCCGCCGCCTCCCTCGTCCTCCCCCGACGCCTTCGGTCCTCAGGAGCCGCTCCGCGCTGCTTCGTGGCCGACGTCCGCCGTCGCGCGCTCCCTGCAGGTGAGGGGCTGCTGCCCGCGCGTGGCGCGCGGCCGCCTTCGCCCTCCCTCGCGGGGGCGGGGCTCGTGGATGTGGTCGGGTCCTCTCCGCTAGGAGGAGGAGGAGGAGGAGGAGGAGGAGGAGGAGGAGGAGGAGGAGGAGGAGGAGGAGGAGGAGGAGGAGGAGGAGGAGGAGGAGGAGGAGGAGGAGGAGAGGAGGAGGAGGAGGAGGAGGAGGAGAGGAGGAGGAGGAGGAGGAGGAGGAGGAGGAGGAGGAGGAGGAGGGAGGAGGAGGGGAGGAGGAGGAGGAGGAGGAGGAGGAGGAGGAGGAGGAGGAGGGGAGGAGGAGGAGGAGGAGGAGGAGGAGAGGGAGGAGGAGGAGGAGGAGGAGGAGGAGGAGGAATTTGGAGCCGGCGCTCTCGGCGCCGCCCCCCCCCCGTGGGCTCTCGGAGGTGCGCAGCCGCGGAAGCTCTTGCAGCGTCCCTCGGCCCCTGCTCCCCTCCGAGCGGCGGCCTCCCCCCGCGCGGCCCGGCGCCGCTGCCGCGGGCTCGAGGCGGCCGCCCGCGGGGCCCGCCGCCGCTGCCCCCAACGCGTTTTTTTTTTTTTTTTTTTTTTTTTTTTTTTTTTTTTTTTTTTTTTTTTTTGCGCTGCTGCTGCGCTCCGCCCTCGTCCCTGGCTCCCCTCTCTCTCCCTCCCGCGTCGCCGTGCTCCGCCGTGGCTTTCTCCCCCGTCCCCCCCCCTCCTTCGCGTGAGTGAGCTCGCCCTGAGGTGGGAGTCTGCTGCGCTCCTCCCTCTTCCCTGGCTCCTCTCTCTCTCTCTCTCTCTCCCTCCCGTATTTATCGCCGTGTTCCATCGTGGCTTTCTCCCCCGTCCCCCCTCCTTCACGTGAATGAGCTCACCCTTGGATGGGAGGCCTTACAGTGGGGGCCCATGCCAAAAAAACACCCTGCTTGCCTCCAGGGTGCCCTGGGTTTCTTGGGTTTCGATGGTTTTGCTGTGGAAAGCTTGACGTGCCCACATCAAAAATCGATGGACGCCGTGGGGTCTCAGGGTTGGGTTTCTTGTGGAAGGTTTCTTGTGGCTGGGCCCCCACTGTACGGAGCATTCTCTCTCGATCGCCGCCCTCGTGGGCTGGGGCTCGTGTCAAGGCGATATCGCCGGGGAGGGCACCACCTCCCGCAGGAGCACTCAGCCTACCCGAGTGCAGCTGCCTACTTGGATGCTCAGCCCCAGACGCGTTCCCCAATAGGATGCTACAGAAGGAACGTTCAAAACATAGTAAAACAATATTCGGTAGACCTTTTTGTTTTTTTGTTGCTTTGCTTTCAATCAAAATTTGTATATGTATAATACATAAAACGCAGAATAGCTATTTTGGAATCTCTTGCCCGCACATGTTTTGTTTTTTTCGTATTTTTTAGTTTCCGTCCGAAATCTGCCTGTAGGAGGACGTGCCCGACCTAATCATACCTCGTTTGTCCTCGCCTCCTCCACCTTGTGGCCTTCCCCCGCGGGCAACTTCCAACCTCCCCTCTCACCCGTCTTGGGCTTCGAGCTGTTCCCGATGCTGAGGTCGAATGCCCGATGCACGGGTGCCACAAGCTTGTTGTGTTCAGTTTCTAGGCTTACCATCAGCTGAAAGGTGACCTGGCGTTGAGGCACCGATTGCCACGCCTGCCTACCACTAGGAAATCCGATCGCCCGCCCTCGCAGCCGTGCGTCGCAGATCCCAGCCGAGTAGGTGACACGAACACGTTACGCTACGTGCGCTCCTCCTCGCCCCCCCCACCGTCTTCCTCCTCCTCTTTGCCCTGTTCTTCCTCCTCTTCACCCTGTTCTTCCTCCTCCCTTCCTCTCCTCGTCTTCCGTCTCCTCCCTTTCGTCCTGCCCTTCCTTCTCCTTCTCCTTCTCCTTCTCCTTCTCCTTCTCCTTCTCCTTCTCCTTCTCCTTCTCCTTCTCCTTCTCTCCTGCTCTTCCTCCTCCTCCTCCTCTTCCCCCTCTCTTCCATGAGGGGCCCAGCGCACCCGCCGTTCCCTTCATGGAGCGCCGTTCGGATGAAGTCAGCTCCTGTCCCCGTTCCCCCGGCGAACGTGCGGGGTAAGCCCAGGTGATCGACGGTGCGTACAGAAAGAACGGGACGCACAACGACAACACGCTGCTCGCGTCTGCGCTCCATCTGACGCAGGAGCAGCGGGAGGCGCCTGGTCGACCCTGTAAAGGGATGATGGTCGGAGGCCATGATGTCGGTGATGACGGGGACTTGACGACATTGATGAGACCATCATCGTCGTCACCACCATCATCAACATCGACGACATTGATGAGACCATCATCGTCGTCACCACCATCATCAACATCGTCATCATCATAACACCATCATCACCATCACCATCACCATCACCATCACCATCACCATCACCATCACCATCACCATCACCATCACCATCACCATCACCATCACCATCACCATCACCATCACCATCACCATCACCATCACCATCACCATCACCATCACCATCACCATCACCATCACCATCACCATCACCATCACCATCACCATCACCATCACCATCACCATCTCCATCTCCATCACCATCATCATCACCATCACCATCACCATCACCACCATCATCACCATCACCATCACCATCACCATCACCATCACCATCACCATCACCATCAACATCACAATCATCACCACTGCCGTTGCCACTGCCATCGCCTTCGCCATAGCCATCATCATCGGCCATCGTCATTTTGATGGTCGTCATCATCGTTGCCATCGACGAGGATCATACTGATGATGATGCTGCTGCTGCTGATGTTGATGTTTATGATGGTGTTGATGTTTTTGATGCTGGTGTTGCTGCTACTGAGGATGCTGCTGCTGCTGATGATGATGATGGTGATGGTGATGGTGATGATGGTGATGGTGATGATGATGGTGATGATGATGGTGATGCTGATGCTGATGCTGATGCTGATGATGATGATGATGATGATGATGATGATGATGATGATGATGATGATGATGATGATGATGATGATGATGATGATGATGATGAGGGGGCGCAAAAGGAATAAGATGAGGAGCAAGAGGAGGAGGAGGAGGAGGAGGAGGAGGAGGAGGAGGTGGAGGAGGAGGAGGAGGAGGAGGAGGAGGAGGAGCAAGAGGAAGAGGAGGACAGAACATAGCGCGAAGCCTCAAATTCCTTGCAGGTGCTGCGTCGACCAGTGACGAGATTTTGAACCATAAGTCGCACCGCCCATCCCTTTTGGACCATCACTGGTCGAGTGGTGGGTATTCGCTCCGCTCGTGCCCGCTCGCAGTTCCTCTGCATTCCTCGCCGTTGTCCAGGTCTGCCCAGGACTTGGGCCAGCAGAGGTGTGGCCCAACTGATCTCTACCAGTCGAGCCCCACGGCGATCTTTCCCTGCACCCAGAAGCGGCGACCCCGCATCACGAAGGGCTGCCCGTTCCCGCGGCGGCGCGCCCGACCCCGGTGCCTGCGGTGGCTGCTCCAAATCTCGCCATAAAAGGGAGGGGGTCACAACCTCCTCCTCCTCCTCCTCCTCCTCCTCCTCCTCCTCAGACGGGCCATTCCGGGCCCCCCCAAGCAAGCCGTGCAGGGCGGCTTTTTGCCCAGACCCACTGGAGCCCTCCAAGACAGCTCAGATCGGACCCCATCCCAAATCAGACCACCCCCCTTTTGTTGTGAAATCTGGAGTACCTGCCCTGCATGGGCAGGACGCCGGCGCCTCAGTGGGGGTAGCGAATCGGCATGCTGCCTCGTGCCGGGAGCCGCCCGCAGCGTTGTTTGCCCCGGGAGACGCCCACGCTTCTTCTCCCCCTCTTTCTCCTCGCGTGATTCTTATCATCATCCTCCCGCTCCTCGTGTGCTTCCGCATTCTGACTGCGCCCTCGTGCTTCTCGTCCTCCTTCGCCTACCCCTTTCTCGTCCACCTCCTCGCCCTTCCCTCTCCCCACTCGTACCTCTGTGTGGGCGGAGAGAACCATGCACATGCACCAGTCCGGGCCAGCCCCACCCTTGTCCCAGGCTCGGCGCTATTGCAGTCCTCGTCCTTCCAGTGGTGGCGAGAGGGTTGGGGAGGGCAGCGGGCGTGCGCGTGGGCCTGCCTTGCTCGGGACCCCTGGCCGGCGCCCCTCGAGCGGCCTCGGGGCTGGGGCGCTGGGGGGGCGGCGCGCCGGCGCCCGCCGCACGGCCATGGCGGGCACTTACTTCGCCGCGGTGCCGGTGTCCTTCGCGCTGTTCGCGGGCCTCTTCCTCGCGTCTTTCCACTTCTCGGTGGCCACATGCGAACCCTACCCCTACCCCCCACGATTTCTGAGGGGGAGGGTGGGGATCACTTTGCTCGGGAGCTCCCGAGCGGAGTGAACCCCACCCTCCCCCTCAGAAATGGGGGGGGGGGTAGGGGTAGGGTTTGCATGTGGCCACCTGACTTCGCTGGCGCCACCGTGGAGCGGTCGTGCTCCCGAGTGTCCGCGTTCCACCACTTTGTCGCCATGTGCTTGGGCCTGTGGGCGCACTGGCAGTACGCGGGGAGCGTGGCAGACGACGCGTCCTTCGGGCGGAACGACACGTTCCCCGTCGCCGTTCTGCTGCAGCACTTTAACTTGGGATATTCGGTGGCGCTGCTGCGCTTGTCCGCCATCCCGCTGTCAGGGTGGGAGGGAGGTGGACTTGGGGAAGCGGGATGGGTGGGCTGGGGCGGGGGAAGGATTGGGGCCTCCTCTGGCGTTTTGTTTGTGTTATGTGCGTTGTACCCGTAATTGGGGCCAAGACGCAAAACAGCGATCATAACGAGGACCAAGAGCAGCAGCGGGGGAAAGGAATACAAGGAACATAATGTGATTCCAAGTGGCAAGTGCGACATTGTGATAACTTCAGCGCAAGCCGTGCGATGCGAGTGCACCGTGGCACATGTGGCGCTCGAGGGCAGAGTCTTGCTGTGACGTTCGAGCTATCGCTGCGCCAACGAAGCTGACGCTCACTCGTCAGATATTGATCGTCGTCGCCCTCCTCCTGCTCCTTCACGCGCTGCGCACACAGGGTGACACAGTACTGGGTGCGCCCAGGAACGTCCAACATTTGCATGTGGACACGCGAGGGATGCCTCCGTGTGTCAACACGAGTGTGTCTACTCTTGCTCTGCCCGATGCTTGTGGCCAGTCTGGCTCAGGCGTTCGGCCGATTCGAACAACGTTTGGGTGCAGATGCTGGCCCTTGGGCCGTGCGCCCTCGACGCCGCGCGGCGGCGTGTCAGCAAGGTGCTGCACGATCACGACTTCTTCGGCCCGCGCCCCGCATTGCAGGCGGAGGGGGCCGAGCTCGAGGGGACCCTCGTGCATGTGGCGGACGCCGCGGACCTCAGCGTGGAGGAGGCGCGGCAGCCGCTGACAGAGCTGGGCCGTTGCTGAGGAACCCGTTCGGAAACACCAGAGGGCGTGCCACGGTTGCCCTGTGCGGGCCATGCTGGAGGACGCTGCGCCGTGTCTCCGAGTAGCATGCGACCGAAGTGTGGCCGAGACCCCGCCGCCGCTGGTGGCCCGTGTGATGGCGGGGATCTGCTTCGCGCGGAGGTGCCGCACGGCCGCGGAGGAGAGCTGACGCGGGCTGGAGATGCAGGAGTGGGCTCGGTGGAAGCCTCGCCTCATCTCTCTGTTCGAGGAGACGGGAGCACCCGCTTTCGATACGCCGCATGGACCTAGAGCTGGCGAAGGTCGGCATCACAGGCCGCACGCGCATCAATACTGTGAGGTCTTACGTGCGAGCCATGGAGACGATTCGCTGGTGGCTCTCGCGCGCGCACGCGGTCCCGTGGCCAGTGCACGCCAGGGAGGGCCGACGGTGCACAACCAGACCTTGCGCGCCTTGGTTTGGGCGGAGCGGGTCGCGGGTGTCGATTCGAGCGACGTGCTTTCTGGTCGGCCAGAGGCTCAGCAGGTCGTTGCTAACGTGGAGATGCTCCTCGGCGTGGGCAAGGGACCGACGACGAGAGCAACACGTTTCCGCAGCGCGTTCATCGGGGTTTTGGAACAGCTGGTCCTGGACCACGGCCTCGCGCCGTACCTGCGCGGGGTGGCGTGGCTTCGCCTCGTCATGGTGTGGGCGGTGTTGCGTTGCGACGACCGCAGCTGGCTCCCGCCCCAGCGCCTCGCCTTCGAGGGCGGAGGTCTGACGGGTATATTGGGGCGCGCGAAGATTAGCAGAGCAGGGCGCAAGATGCCAGAGATGCTGCTCGCGGTATTCCGAGAGTGCTAGATGCCAGACAAAAGTGTGGACCAGACAGGCTTCGCTCTGTCGCAGGATACCGCGAGTTTCGAGAGTGGCTGCTTCCTGTCGAGATGCGACGACGCGGGGCTGGTGGTAGTCCGCAAGTCCGCCGGGCACGCCGAAGCATCGGCAGCGGGTCAGGAAGTGCTCCGGGGGGTGCGGAAGCCGACGGCAGTGGAGAGGAGGTCAGGCTCCTCCTCTCCCGAGGATGTAGTGGGATTCCGGGCAGAGCGCTCTGAGCGGGCGACGATCCTTTCGGCCGTGGCGGTATGGGGGGTGTCGAGCATTGGCCGCGACTACGTGGGCAGGTAGTCGCCAGTGTGGGCGGGCGCCTGCGCGAGGCGAGCAGTCGCGAAAAGCTCCAGCAGCAGTTCGCCGAGGTGCTGCGATCAGGGAAGTCCTGCGTGGTGCTGGACGAGTCGGCGGCCATCCCGGACCTTGCGCGCTGGCTGGCGCCGGGGGCGACTTTTGTGGTGCAGGAAGCAGCGAGCGTTGCGGCCAAGACCAACGCGGCCCTCGAAGCCTGCGGCGGCGGTGTGGCGACGGCTCCCCAGCGCGACGAGGGCGAGCCAACTGGGGCAGCGACCCTGGAGGCCGCCGTCGAAGATGGGGGAACGGACGACGTCGCTCCGCTGGCGGGGGCGGCGACGCCTCCGCGAAGAGTGCTGAGGGCAGATCGCGGACGTGACGGCGCCGACGAGGGCAGCTGGGCGAACGTTCAGATCGGCGCGGCGAGAAAAAGCTTTCCCTCGAGAGCAAGGGCGCCGAGGGCGACGGCAGCTACCTCATCGTGCGCGCGAGGAAGCGCATGATGGCCAGGATCCACGCGGTCGGGGGCCCTGGCTGGGCGAGCACCAGGTCGCCGCTGAACTCGACCTACTTCGACGATGTGCTGGGCCCGAAGGAATATGACCATCGCACGGTCCGCCAGATGTGCTGACGCCCCGTCTCGGCCGAAACGGCGAAGGCGGCCGACAGTGGCGTTGACGGCGGCTCGTGCAAATCGGGGAGTTCCGCAGGCTCCGACGGGTCGGAGGGGGTCGTCCTATGGGGGAGGCCGCAGCGGCGGCAGACTCCGCGTGACCCCCCCCCCCTCCGGACAGGAGGCTGCCAGCCCTCGCTCCCTCCGACGGGTCAGCCGCCAGTGCGCCGGCAGCGGGGGGCCCCGCGCGACCGATCGGGGCGGGCCCCCCCCCCCCGACAGTCAGGTGCGAGCGGGACGGGTGCTGCGCCCGCGTGCTGACGGGGCGCCGGCCGCGGCGCCTGCGCTCGCGCGAGGAGTGACCTGCGACGCTGCATCAGGGCGGAGGAGCTCGCGGCAGTCAATTCGGCCGATGATTGATGTTCCCGACCTCCTAACCGTCTTGGGCGGACGCGGAATGCGACTACGTCGAGTGGGTGACAAGCTCCGCGGGAGATGATGCGCCGTGGCATGGTGTGTCTGAAGTTCTCCATGATGGTATCACTGCTGCTTTCGATTGCTTCAATGGTAATCGGCGCGTCTACCCCTCATTGAAGTCAACTGCGCTTCATAGTGCAGTCAAAGGCAGTTGTTGGCCGTGATTACCTGGACAGACTCGTTCGCGTGCGCGCCCTGTCTCTCGTTGCTCCTGCGACTCGAACTTGGAAGAATGGGGTCAGAAGCAGCGTTGGTGCAGGGATTGTCTGGCTTGGCATCCCGACAATATACCAACCCATTCGGGGCCCTTCCAGCCGGGCGGCACCGTGGGCGACGCCTCGGGAGGCGGAGTCCAGGAGCGTCCAGGGCGCCCCACACGTGTTTTCGCGTGTCGGAGCAGCCAAGACAAGCTCCGCTTGCGAGCGCCCGGGAGCGCCTGGGGGTGTGGGGTGGGGGCCCACAACAGTGCCAGGCGTACCTGGTCTACGTGCTAGGGGGGCGCATCTTGGACCCCTTGGGAAGGAACGCGCAGGGCGACGTGGCCGCGCGCCCGCCATGGGGGCGGGTGCTGCAGTGCGAGCATCATGTACGCGAAAAGGCTTGGTAGCTGATCCAGCGGGGGCGCGCGCAGCCCCGCGCGGCGCTTCGGAGGGCGGTGGGCGACCTCAGCGGTCAAGGAGCGGGGTTTCGCGACCCCGCTTGCCCTCGCCAGCCTGGCGGCCCGCTGCAGGCCCCGGCATCCGCGGCAGCGGCCGCGGCGGCGGGGGCCCAGCCCGCCGAGGCAGGTGCGCGCGAGCGGGGCGCGCAGAGGAGGCGGCAAATCATCCGACCAGGATGGGGCCCGCCTCGCAGGCGCCGGACTGCAGGGATATCCGCTTCAGGTACATGTCCAAAATGGTCGAGTGCGACATGGAGAAATGGCGCATCCTCCGTGTGCTCGCTTGGCTTCGACACGCGGAGCGGGGCCATCTCGGGGCCGCCCGCGGCGCCGCCCATCCAGGGCGCCCCGCAGGGCGCTCGACCGCTGCAGATGCCACTGGGCAGAGGCGGCAGAAGGCGCTGACGCCAGGGCGACGACGTCGGCGGCGCAGGGCCAGGGGGGCCGCGCCCCTTGCTGCCGCCGTCCGCAGCCTCGGCCCAGCTGGTACAGGTGGCTTCGCCCTCGCGGAGGAACTCCGCAGGAGGGCAACCCGCTCTCTCCGCGGGGCGAAGCAGGCAGCCTCAGCAGGGCGGTCATTTGCGTGGCCTCGTTCGACCCTTCGGGGCGAGGGCCTCGCCGGCGCGCCGTCGGGAGGAACGAGTGGCGGCTCGCCGAGGACGGCGGAGGAGCGCGCGACCCCCAGGACGGGCGCCCACCCCGCTAGGTCATCCTCACGTCCGCGATCGAAGTCCAGGAACGGGGGGCGTCGCCACGCCCACCTGCCAGGCACGACCTGGCGAGGAGAGGGCAAAGAAGCGGGGCAGAAGCTGGGTGCCCCCCATGATCCAGGGGGCGGGCCGCAGGGTGGAGCTGCAACTGAGGGTGCCCTGCCTTTTCGCAGGGTTCAAACGACGAGCAGATGTCGCAGCTTCCGCGCGGCCGGCACACTTGGTCGAGGTGGGCTTGGCCTGGTCGGACGGCGCCGACCTTTGGCTGCAGAGCGACTACCTCAGGAGACGGGCAGCGGGCGGATGGGGCGCGCTCGCGGCCTCGCCCCCGCGCACCTTCTGGTCGCGAGTCGCGCGGGTGAACCGCCGAGGACCGCGCCCAGTGTGGTCGGGGAATGCCCTTGGGGGCTCCCTGGCTGGAGGGGCGCGAAGCATTGAAGTGTTCGGTATCCAACCAACTCGCCGACCTCGCCCTCTGCGCGCTGAAGACCCAGGTGACGAGCAGCAAGCAGGCAGCCAGCCTTCTGGAACACCCCGAGGGCCCCGGCGCCGTCCACCATGGTGAGCTCCGCGGTCAGTGTCCCGTCTGCATGTTGCGGCTGCCAAAGGTGGGCGAGCTCCTCGCCCCTGGCGGCGTGCGCACTTCACTCTTCCATTAGAGCGGCTTGGGCGCGCCATGCCTGAAGCTGGCGCGCCTCGTCGGGCACTTTCCGGGGCTGACCCCCGACCCTCGGCCTCATTGCTGGGGGCCGCAGTTCGATGCGAATGGTGCGCGCCAGGGGCCGCTGCCGCCGCCGCCGCCGCCAGCAGGGCTGCAGTTGCTTGAGCGTGGGCAGGGCGACGCCGCGTTCAGGACCGCGGGCGCCGCGGCTGGGCCCCCGCAGCTGTGCGGTTGCGTGGCGCGAGCAGCTCGGCAGCGCGGCTCGCTGCCCGCTGTGTGTGTGTGTGTGTGTGTGTGTGTGTGTGTGTGTGTGTGTGTGTGTGTGTGTGTGTGTGTGTGTGTGTGTGTGGGGTCTCCACCTGGGGCCGCTCATCCGTCGGGCTAGGGGATGGGGGCGATGGGGGCGCCGAAGAGGGCCCCCCCCCATCGAGAGCAGCCCGCTCAGAGAAGGGGGCATCCACGTCGGGCGGGGCAACGGCAAGTGCCCAGCGAGCGAATGGTGCAGCGCCTTTCCCGTCCGGCGTCACGGCGCGAAGGCCGCCATCTCGCTCTTCGCGGGGTGGCTCGCGACGGAGCCAGATCTGCTCGACGGCGCTGTCCTCGGGGGCCAGTGGCGTGAACTCGGACTGCCGCGCGGGCGCCATTGTCGCCGCGTGGCAGGGGGGGCGGGGCGCGCGACCGCGAGGCCCCTGCGCCGATTTGGAGGCGCAGGGCCGCCTCGCTGCTGCGAGTGCATAGAGGGCCTGAGGGGATTTCACGTCGGCGCGGGCTTCCTCGCGTCTGGCCGCTGGGACTCCGACCTTCGGAAGTTCCCGAATTTGAACGTGCTGGTTGCCGATCGCTACTAAGGGATTGCGCAAGCAATGGGCGAGTGGGGGGCCGCAGAACGTGCCCCCTTCGAGCCGGCGGTGCAGAAAGACCAGGCCGCCGCTGACCAGAGCGAGTCCTCCAACCTCGCGAGGGAGGATGTCTACGCGGCGCCGAGGGGGGCCCTCGAAGCCTGGCCGGGGGCAAAGAGGCAGGCAGGTCATTGCGACGACATGGGCTGCGCCGCCGAGGGGCAGCCCGCCCGCCGCCGGCTGCTAGCGGCGCTTCTACGCGAAGCTTGGGGCCCAGGCGCGGTGTTGATGGAGGAGCTGGAGAGACGCCTCGGCAGGAGGAGCTCGGCGAGGAACTCGCAGAGGCAGCCTCGAGACGCCTCGGCTCGACGCGGGCGTGCTGTGCGAGACGCCTCGTCAGGAGGAGCTCGGCGAGGAACTCGCAGAGGGGCGTCTCGACCAGGTGGCCTCAGCTGGGCCGCTCATCGGTCGCGCTCGGGGGCGGGGGCGACGGGGGCGCCGGACATGGCCCCCCTGTGGAGAGCAGCCCGCCCAGAGAAGGGGGCATCTACGGCGGGCGGGTCAACGGCGAGCGCCCGGCAGGGGAATGGGGCAACGCCTTCCCCGTCAGGCGTCGCGGCGCGAAGGCCGCCACCTCGCTCTTCGCGGGGTGCTTCTCGATGAGGCCAGATCTGCTCGACCGCGCTGCCCTCGGGGGCCACTGCTGCGCGGGCGTCGAGCCCCGCGCGGGCGCCATCGCCGCGTGGCAGGGGGGGCGGGGCGCGCGACCGCGAGGCCCCTGCGCCGATTCGGAGGCGCAGGGCCGCCTCGCTGCTGCGAGTGCATCGAGGGCCCGATTGGGATTCCGCGACGGCGCGGGCTTCTTCGTGTCTGGCCTCTGGGGCCCAGACCTTCGGAATTTCCCGAATTTTAACGTGCTGAGGACCGATCGCTCTTGAGGGATTGCGAAACATAGGGCGGATGGGTGGCCGCAGAACGTGCCCCCTTCCAGCTGGCGGTGCAGAAGCACCAGGCCGCCGCTGATCGGAGGGAGTCCTCCGACCTCGTGAGGAAGCAGGTCTACGAGGCGGCCGATGGGGGTCCTCGAAGCCTGGCCGGGGGCAAAGAGGCGGGCAGGTCATTGCGACGATGTCGGCTGCGTCGCCGAGGGGCAGTCCGTCCGCCTCTGTTTTCTAGCGGCGCTTCTGCGCGAAGCTGGTGGCCTGGGCGCGGTGTTGATGAAGGAGCTGGAGACGGGAGTCACTGCGGGCATGCTGTGCGAGACGCGTCGGCAGGAGGAGCTCGGCGAGAAACTCGCAGAGGGGCGTCTCGACCAGGTGGCGGCCAACTGGGCCGCCCCAGAAGCAGCCAACTACATCAGCGTGGAAGAACGCGGCGATTGTCTCCGAGAGCGCCTCGCGGACGAGGTGCAAGCGGGCAGGGTGATCAAGCTGCCCAAGGAGCAGCAGTACGACCGCTTCCGCGACATTTGCGGCGCTGGCAGTCCTGGAAGCGCGAGGGGCAAGAAGAGACTCGTCCACGACGGCGCGCGCGAGGTCCCAGTGAACCACCATATTCGATGCTGGAGTTGTCTGAGGATGCCGAGGTCCGCGAAGAAATACTACCTCCGGAGTTGCTGCGATGACGGATCACTTCTCACTGGTCACCGACGTCAGGGGAGCGCGCCGGCTTGTCAAGATCTGCGAGGACGAGTGGGCCATGCTGGCATGCGAGTGCGAGGGCGAGGTGTGCTGCTGCACCGTGGGTACCAGCGGTATATCCGACGCATCAGAATTGTGAGCCAGGCTATCCTGTGCCGTGCTACGGGCGATGGTCCGCCTGTTGAAGGACGACTGGCCAGTGAAACAAGTCACTTACGCCGACGACTTGGCGGTGATCGGTGTGGGGGAACGAGGGCGACTGGCAAAGTTTTTTCAGGGTTGTCTTACTCGGCGTCGTCGGTTCCCCGGTGCACAAGGTCATCGAGGCGCCGGGCGGCTTCGGGGTGGACAGGGTCGGCCACCACTGCGCTTGCGCCCAGTGCGCCATGGTCCTCTCAGCGGCGAGGGCGGCTTGGGTGCGGGCCTGGTGCGAGGAGACGGTCGAACGCGGCGCCATCCGCGTGGGCGAGCTGGCGTTTGGTTTGGGGCGCATTGGCTTCGTGGCGATGGTCCTGATATGGGGGAAGTCGCTACTGGGGCCCGCGTATACCTGGCTCGCCAGCTTCGGTTCCCCCTCCCGTGTGCGACCAGGCTCGTGCTGACGTGGGCCGGCAAGCGATTGGCGAGAGTACAGAGATTGGAGTCGCCCATCACATTAAAACTTAGAGCGCCGGGCATTTCCGCGCGCATGCGAAAGTGGAGGGTGGGCGTGGGGGGGCGCTGCTGGATAGGCGGCTGGGAGGTGCTACTGAATGGCAGCGTGCGAGGGGATCGCTGGTGCGCAGTGCGCGCGTTCCCCTGGGCGTGGGCCAGGGCAAGCGACCCGAACAGGGTCATCGCGGCGCTCGAGCTCGTTGGTGCGATCATTTGCGTGAAGCTGTTCGCGAAGCCCAGGGGGCGTCGCCGGAGGGCGCGCCTCAGAATGACGGAGTCGACGGGCAACCTGGAGAACGCCTGCGCGGAAGGCAGGGCATTGTCGACCAAGTAGTCGTTGACGGTCTTCCTCGTCGAGCTTTCGGACGAGTTGAGGTCGCGAAAGATGTCGCTGGGCCTGGGCGGGCCACCGCGCGAGGAGAATCGGTGCGCGGGCGATCTCAGCGCCGTGAAGACGTCGGACTTCGAGCCCCTCGGGATCCACGTGGCGGCCGCGGACCTGAAGTGGCGCTCCCCGACGAGATGATGCAGGCCCCCCAGGAGCTCTACGAGTCGATTGTCGCGGAGAGGGCGGCGTGCAAGGGCAGGTCGCCCGTGGCAGGGTGCGGCCAGAGGGGCCGCGAGCGCGCGCCTGGCGCCGCGGTGGTGGCGTCGCCCAGCACGTCGTCTACGACATTGCGCGGGCACCTTCAGGCGGCGGCAGCGGCGCGCCGGGCCCCGTGCGACCTTTCATGGCGGGGCCCAAGGCGAGGTTCTATGGCGGTGGTCTTGAGCCCCGCCCTCCGGCGGGCGCCGCCGTGAGGTGGGCGCCCCCCTCCCGCCTTTGGATCTTTTCTCTTTCCGCCGCGACGGCGAATCATCCGGGGGCTGGAAGGGCCCCCCCGCGCCGCGGTGGGCCCTATGGAAGGTGGGGAGGGCTTCGAGACCGCGCCCTTGCTTCCCTTGCGAGATGCGGTGCGGTGGGCGGCGGGGCGGCGGTGTCCGCGTGGCGGGGCGAGGAGGGCGAGGTGCGGCCAGCGGGCCTCGACGCTAACGGAGTCCATTGGGGGGCCCAGGGGGCCAAGGCTGCCGCGCCTCTGGGCCTGCGCCCCTTCCTCATTGGTGACCCGCCCCCATTGCTGAAGGGGGGGCGTCAAGTTCCTGGTACTGGCTCGAGCTCCTGCGCTACGGGGCTACCGTCTCCGCCACCCGTAAACGAGGCATCAACGTCACCCCCTTGTCTTACCGCCATCTCTCTGCTTGTGCGGCTATTCGCGGATGCGCCCCCGCTTGCCACCACGAATGTGTATCCCCTCATTTTGTCCGATGGCTATTTGGTCTCTGGCGCTCGGACGATTTTGAACAGCACGCCCGCCGCCCTGGGACATCAAGTTCCTGGGAGCGGCTCGGGCGCATGTGCTACAGGGTTCCCGTCTCTGGCACCCGTAAAAGAGGCATCGACGTCGCCCCCCCCGCCCCCCCCGCCCCCCCCCCGCCCCCTCTTTTACCGCCGCCGCACCGATGTTGTGCAGCCGTTCGAGGCTCCGGAAACAGAGCGCGGCACAAGACGCGATGTTTGGAACGAAAAGAATCCGCTGGGTCTTGTTTTGGCTCATGTGCTGGCCAGGCGGGCGTTGGGCCAAAAGTGGGTTGGGAGGTGTGGGAACCACATCGTGTTTCAAAACCGCTGTCGGGGCCAATTTTCGGCGTCTGGGCTCTCAAAATGGGAAGTTGCGCCCGAAAACGCGCCGCGCGGGTCTGTTTTCGCTTGTGCGCTGGCTATGTGGGCTGGGGGCCCAACGCGGTTGGGACGTTTCTTCGCTCGTGCGTTGGCAAAACGGGCATGGGGGCCCAAACTGGGCAGGAGCATTTCGGGACCAACGAGAGGCAAAAACACAAACCGCGCGGGGTTGTTTTCGCAAAGTGCTGGGCCCACCTGCAGGCGGGCGCGCTTGGAACGAGCTTCCTGTCGCGCGGTGTGCGTGTCAAGCGAGCTGGCGCACTCGGAGTAAACTTCATTACAACAGCGCGGGCCACCCGACGTGCGTGGCCCGCGAGCGGGCGCGCTTGGAGTGGGTTTCCTAGCCTGCATCTTGGTGACATCACTGGCACCTTGACGGCTGTCCAAGAAGGCGCGGACTTGGAACAACACGAGGACGCATGTTGTGTTCGATGCGTCACGGGTCCTCGCATTCTGTTGCCAGCAGGGCGATTCAGCAAGGCATCCGGCAAAGGCCCAGTGCATACCGACTGCTGCACAGCGCGGTGACGGATTTCTTCTATGACTCCATCCACGTAGCGGTATGGGACCAGAAGTTTATGCTTCACCACTTGATCGCCATTGCGGGATATTCCACCAGCGAAATCTCAAACGTATTTGCTCTGGCCAACGCGGTCAACACTTGGGTCACTGAGGTAGGGTCGCTGATGTATAGCACGTACCTCATCTTGCGGTCAGACAGCGCATATTATGTTTTCGTTGCGTTCTATACAGCTTCAAGGATTTATTTTGCTATTTGGAGCTTCGTCGTCCTTGGCCAGGTAAGGCGGGCGCTTGCTGGTCCAGTGCCAAGGTGGTCATACCCGCCGTGGGCGCCGTATTGTGCTGCGACTCTACAGCTGGCGCTGCTTGCGGTCAACGTCGTGTTCCTGCTGACACACTGGAGAAGGGTGATGAAAAAACTTTGCAGTAAGGACAAGGACAAGCAGCAGGACACATGGGCTCCCAACCAGCCCTCTCTCCCTCCTTCTTCCCTCTTCTCTTCCCTTCAGTCGTCTCCCAATCTGCTTCCCCACTCGGTGCACATCGTAATTCGGGTGGGGCTGGGGCCATCTCGCAATTCCCTTGTATTCTTCCAGTCATCCAGCCGGTCCTACTCAGGCCCTTTTGCAGAGCAGACGGCGGCGGCGCTGTGCATTTGGGCCTGTCTCTCTTTTTTTTTTTTTTTTTTTTTCTCTCTCTCTCTCTCTCTCCCTTGTTTTGTCCTCTCTCCCAGTTTATCCTCGGCCTCTGCCTCCGCCTTTGTCTCCGTCTCCGTCAGTCTGCTTGTGTCAGTGTGCGTGTCTCTGTCCATGTATGTGTTGCCGTCTTTGTTTCTTTGTCTCTGCTCCGGTGCTTCCGTGTCTATCTCTGTGCGCGTGTCTCTGTCTCCATCTTTGTTTTTAGGTCTCCATTTTTTTCTTTACGTTTCTGTGTCTCTGTCCTGCTTTGGCTGCTATTGTCTGCGTCCCTGTATCTCTGCCTGTGGCTGAGGTTCTGTCTCTGTGTCTGTGTCTGCCATAAGCCTCTGGCATGACACAGCATCCTGACAGTGAGCTCTGGGCAAAGTGTCTGTCGAGTGGCAGCTTGGCTGTTCCACGTCATGTTTCCTACTATGTTGGAGGGCGGGCTCCGGTTCTGTGACGACGCGGGTGATGGCGAAATAAGTTCAGAAGGCCATTCAGGGTCAGTGCTGCGGTTCTGTATGTATGGAGCTATGCTGGAACTTCTCGGGGGCCTCTCGGGGGCTCCTGGGGGCATGGCGGGGGTCTTGGGGCTTACCCTGGGGGGACGCGGCTCCCGAGACCCCCTTCGTCGTACCACACTCTGGGGCTGACCACAGTGAAGTCTTCAGGCGCAAGGCCTTTCAGTGATCTTTGACATCGGCGATCACCGGAAGTCATGCGAGAAGCCCGGTTGTTCCTTCAGAGCACGCTGCCGCGATGGCTCGGAGGGGCCCGACGGCGTTCCACTCGGTGCCTGCGGCGCGGGCGACGGGTCTGGCTCGTGGTCCTGATGCACTGTAGTTTTAAGTCGGGCCTGTCCTTCCACAGGAAGAATATTCAAACATAGTAAAAATGGGCAGGGGAGTTTCGTTTTTTGTTTTTTTGATTATGTAAAAAATATGATTTTACCATTTTTGAGTTTTTTTAGGGTATTTTATCGCGCACGCTGTGCATTATGAGACAGCCGACGTGCAGTCGCTCCCGCAAAGCGGCGAGTTCAGGCTGGCATTGTCTTTTGCCCACGCGCTCCGGCGTATGGCAGGCAGTTCGTTCGTTCGTTCATAAGGGCTTCGCCCCATGCCGCCGGCCCCCTGTCTCGGATAATGGGAGATGCAAAAGCTAAATCATGAGGTCTGGGCGCCGCCGTGGACCTGTTTGTTTTTCGTCCCTGACCCTACGGATCTGCGTCATGGGTGCCACCGAATTTCAGAAATGTTGCAAATCCTTTGTGTTTTTGGACCTGGACCGTACGGATCTGCGTGAGGGGTGCCGCCGAATTTCAGAAATATGGCAAATCCGTTGTGTTTTTGGACCTTGATCCTGCCGATCTGCGTAAGGGGTGCCGCCAAATTTCAGAAATGTGGCAAGTTCCCTGTGTTTTTGGACCCTGACCCCGCCGATCTGCATGATAAGGTGCGACCTAATTTCAGAAATGTTGCAAACCCCTTGTGTTTTTGGACCCTGACCCCGCCGATCTGCGTGAGGGGTTCCACCTAATTTCACAAATGTTGGAAATCCTGTGTGTTTTTGGGCCCTGACCCCGCCGATCTGCGTGAGGGGTGCCACCTAATTTCATAAATGTAGCAAATCCGCTGTGTTTTTGGACCCTGACCCCGCCGATCTGCGTGAGGGGTGCCACCTAATTTCACAAATGTTGGAAATCCTGTGTGTTTTTGGACCCTGACCCCGCCGATCTGCATGATGGGGTGCCACCTAATTTCAGAAATGCGGCAAATCCTTTGTGTTTTTGGACCCTGACCCCGCCGATCTGCGTGAGTGGTGTGAATTTTTACCCACCCGAGCAATTCAGAGCATACGATCTGGGCGTGGTAAAAATGCCTGTTTTGGGCCTCCCCCTCTCGCGCGGTCCATCAACAAGGAACAGTATGCAGCAAGAAGCAGACAGTAAGCACCCTCGAGAGACGCCTGAGTCCAACAGGGTCACAGAAGCCTCCAAGAGGCTCCCAAAATGCTCCCCACGGGCCCCAATCAGGCCCCCAGAGCCCAGTCCAAGATAACGCCAAGACAGTCCAAGATAACGCCAAGATAACGCCAAGATAACGCCAAGATAACGCCAAGACGTCGACGTCGTTTTCGAATCGCTCTTGGAGTGTTTTCCAACGGCCCAAGGGAGGCCCAAAAGACGCCCCGGAGAGCCCCAGGAGCGCCCAAGAGCGCCCCAAGAAGACCCCCAGAGACCCCCAAGAGCGCTCTAGGAGCCACCCACACAGCTCACAAGAACCCCAAGACGGCCCAAGAAGGGCCAAGAAGGCCCCAAGAGACTCCCGGGAGCGCCCCAGGAGGCCCCCAGCGCCGAGACGGCCTAAGAAAGCTCCCACAGAACCCCACGACGCGCCCAGACAGCCCAAGAAGACCCCAGAAGCCCATAAGAGGACCCAAGGGGCCCCCAAGAAGCCCCCAACAGGCCCCAAGAGAACCCCGCGCGGCGCCAGGAGCAACGTCTTTCTCCAATTGCCTCGTACTGTCCTCTGTTGTCGTCGTCGTCGTCGTCGTCGTCGTCGTCGCCCTCCGCATTCGTCCTCGTACTCGCCCTCGTTCTCTTCGTCATCGTCCTTGTGCTTCTCTTCCTCCTCGTTGTCCTCATGCTCCTGCGCGCTTTCCTCACGTTCGCCACGTCGTCCTCGTCATCGACTCCTCGTTGTCCTCGCCTTCCTTTTCTTCTTCGCCTAATACGCCCAATAGACTAAAGCGGCGCTTCCCGTTCTTGTCCGATCAGGTTTCAATTTTTCGTTCAAAATCCCCCTGTAGGAGGACCGGCCCGACAACTGTAGTCTTGTGATGCTTTCCTTTTTCAACTCTTTCCCTTCCCAGTCCTCGCGTTTCGCTCTTGCAGGGCTGCCGCGTCTGCGTCGACCACACGTGTGCAAGCAATGGTGTCCTCGATGTGCACTCTGTGTTTGGTATCCCGTGCTCTCTCTTCTCGTCGCTTGCACTGGCGATGCTGCGTTCTGTGCACAGCTGCACGGAATTTGGTCGGGTGGCTTCCCTTCCCTCGACTTCGTCAGGTGAGTGCTTGGTGAGCGCGGCGTGGCCGTTCCCGCTCGCTCGGGGCTGGACGGATCGGGGCCTGAGATATATTTTTTCTGCCAGGTGCCAGTGCCTTTTGTTTGTCCTCTCTCTCTCTCTCACTCTCTGTCGTCCTCTCTCTCTCTCTCTCGCAATCTCTGTCTCTGTCTTTGTGCCTCTCTCTATCCCTTTCTGTGCATTTTTTGTTGTTTCTCTCTTTCTCTCTGTCCGTCTCAGTGTCCCTATGCTTGTCTGTATCAGTCTGTACCTCCGTCCATGTGTCTGTCAGGGTCTCCGTCTGTGTCTTCGTGTCAGCCTCTGTATCTGCAGTGTCATTGTGCCCGTCTTTCCACACGTCGAAGTGCGCGTGTGTGTGCGTGTGTGTGTGTGTGTGTGTGCGTGTGTGCGTGTGTGTGTGTGTGTGCGTGCGTGCGTGTGTGTGTGTGTGTGTGTGTGCGTGTGTGTGTGTGTGTGTGTGTGTGAGTGTGTGTGAGTGTGTGTGTGTGTGTGTGTGTGTGTCTGCGGGTGTGCGTGTGTGTGTGGCTCTGCCCGCAGTCGGCCGCCCCGCCCGCCTGCGCAACGCCCCACGCCGTCTGGGCTGCCGCTGCCTCCCCGCCTCTCGCAGTGCGGGCCCGGCCACCGGTGCGGCCCCCCGGCCACGGATCGCACTCCCCGTGCGGCCCGTCGCGGAGTCGCCCAGTCGCGCTCGCCACCGTCGGCCTCTCCGGGCTGGCGTCCGACGTGGCGCCCTGCCGTCGGGGGCGGAGAAGAGGGGGGTGATGACTAGGGGGGGGGGTGGATATCATGGCGGGGGCCATGATATTTCCCCAGACTTCACGGCGCCCTTTCTGGTTTCATTGCGTCCCTGGCCCCCCCGCTGGGCCGCGCACATGCCGCCGGGTCATGATCTGCACCCTCTCCCTCTTGGACGCCCCCCTCTTGGCCGCTCCCAATGCTGGCAATTCCCGGCAGCTTCTGCCCCGCCGTGTGGGGCGCCCTCCCCCTCCCTCTTGCTGTTCCCGCCGTCGCGCGCCGCTCCTCTGCTCTGCCTCTTGCCCGCTCCTCGGGCTGTCGCCCAGCGGGTCGTCCTCCCTCTCGGTCGTCGTCGGCGGAGGAGGAGGAGGAGGAGGAGGAGGAGGAGGAGGAGGCGGAGGAGGAGGGGGAGGGGGAGGAGGAGGAGGGGGAGGAGGGGGAGGATCTCGAGGAGGAGGGGGAGGAGGGAGGAGGAGGAGGGGAGGAGGGGGAGGAGCTCCGATGGCCCCCAAGGCGGCCTCTCCTGGTCTCGGGTTCGCCCCGGTTCCCGGGCGTCGCCTCCTCTGCCTCCTTTGCCGTGCCCCCCCGGCCCGCCCGCACGGGCGCCGGCACCGGGCGCTCTGCACCCGCCCCCGGCCGCTTCCTCGTGCTGCCTCGAAGCGGGCCGCTGGCGTCGCTGCGTGTGCCGGGACGTCGTGCGCCACTCTTCTGCACGCGGAGCCCTTCTTCGGTTGCCACCCATCGACGCACGCTCGGTGGTAATCATCCCAGCGCAGCCCGCTGATGCCTTCGCTGAGTCGGACCGGCCGGCCGCGGAGTAAAACCGTGTGTGCCTCTCTCTCTCCCTCTCTTTTTCTCGTTCTCTCTATTCCTTTCTGTCCTTCTTTCTCTCTCTCTCTCTGTTTCTCAGGCTGCCCCCTGGACTTATCCAAGGACCGGCCCGAACGGTCACGCCACAAGGCCCGATCCGGGCCGTTGGCGATCTTGGGGCTCTGAATGTCCGCGAGGTGGCCCCCGGATAGCTGGCTTCAGCTCCAGTGAAACGACGCGAAGAGCGGGACAAAATCGGATCGGGATAACTCGAAATCTCTGAGAGTCGGCGGGTTTGGAGGACGTATTGGGCGCCGCGGCCGCTCCAGAGCGTTCTGGAACGCTCTGAGAGCGCTCCGGAACGCTCTGGAGCGATTTATCCCGGTCCTAGCCCTGTTTTATCCAGGGGTGGACCTAAACAGTGCTTTGGCGACTTCCGTGGGCCGTTTTCGTTTCGACTTCGTCATGCGTGAAAGGTGGGCGGATCGAAGAATCAAAACGAGGGAGAACGAACATGAAACGAAAATGAGCAGCACCGCTTAGGTTCAGCCCTGCTCAGCTCCCCCCAGGACTGAGCGGCGCACCCGGGCCGCCCCGGGAGGCCGGCGACCCTGGACGCGAGCCCAAGCGGCAGGCTGGCTGCTCATGGCCGGCCGCGCGGGCTGCCAGGGCATGCCGTGAGCTGCGGGGCACTCGCCCACACCGGGAGCGCCGCGTGGCGTCGCGCGCGCGAGAGAAAGGCTGGCGCCGGATGGGATCAGGAAGGGTTTCGATGACGACGACGGTTATGATGATGGTGATGGCGATGTGGAGCCCGTTGATGGGTAGGACCGGTCAGGATAGGTATGGAGATGGCGATGATGACGGTGGCGATGATGACGGTGATGTTGGTGAT